TGGTTTTTTTTTTTTTTTTTTTAATAAATATACATAAAAACCAACTAACCCAGCTGCCTTTTTTGCAGAAATTGACAAGCTGATCTTGAAATTCATATGGAAATGCAAGGAACCCAGAATAGTCAATACAATCTAGAGAAAAAACAAAGAGGACTCACACTTCCTGATTTCAAGACTAGCCACAAAGCTATAGTAATCTACACAGTGTGATAGCAGCTTAAGAATAGACACATAGGTCAGTGGAATAGAGGCAAGAGTCCAGAAGTAAAACAACATCTGTGGTCAATTAATTTTTAGCAGTGATGCCAGGACCATCCAGTGGGGAAAGAACAGTCTTTTCACCAATTGGTTCTGGGACAACTGAATATTCCATGCAAAAGAATGGATTTGGATTTCTGCCTCAGACGACATCCAAAAAATCAACTCACGATGAATCAAAGATCTAAATGTAAGAGCTAAAACTACAAAACCAACTAAAACAGCTTGTAGGACAAAGAGGGAGGAGACAAAAAGAAAAATTGGAATACTAAAAACAAAAATAGAATTATTAGACATGCCAGAATCGTGAGGAAAAATAGAAAAGAAGGTAAAAAGAAGAGTAGGCAAAGACGAGAGAGATGGAAAGGGGGTGTGTGTAACATGGAGCAGAAGGACTCAAGGCCAGCTGTGGAGTAGAAAGTAGAAGGGACAGGGCAAGGCAGGCAGCAGGAAGAGCTGTATGTGTGGGAGCCAGCATCACAAAGGGCCCAGCCCAGGTGACTGTGGCCACGCCTGCAGCACCTAGGTGGACGGCGAAGCAGTGAAACAGTTGTACTCGTTGGCTCGTGGTCACTGTTATCTAATAACTGTAAGTCACATTTTATCTGGGATTTCAAAGACTAAATCTATAATTTCCTCTTAACAATATAAATTTAGTTGAGTGTTTTGTGAGCCCTCTTCTGTTTCAAATCCAGTTCTTTGACTATTGACACACCATCACAGTCTTACTGGTACAGGTACAGGGACCTGTACCAGTGTATCCAGCAGAGGGCATTAGAGTTCTTAGACATCAGCTGGGTACTCTAAAACACACCCTCCAACAGAGATAGAAAATAAGCCCTGGGTATCATTTTCAATTTTCTAGCAACCATATTTAAAAAGTGAAATTAACTTTATATTTCATTTAAAAAGTGAAATTATATTTCATTTAACTCAGCATATCTAAAATATTTTAATGTAATCAATATCTGTGAATTACTAATGAGATCTCTTTTTGACACTAATTCAAAACTCACTGTGTATCCAGTTACAGCATATCTCAATTTGGATGCTAACTTTTCATCAGGAATACTTGATCTGTATTTAGATTATGTAAAATACACAATTGAAAAACACAAATTCATATCCAAGTTGTTCCAAAGATACTTAAACACAGTTAAAAGTTTTCCAGTAACTGAATTGAATATCATGTTTTTTTGTTTTTTGGTTTTTTTTGGGGACAGAGTCTTGCTCTATCACCAGGCTGGAGTGCAGTGGCGCGATCCTGGCTCACTGCAACTTCCATTTTCTGGTTTCAAGCAATTCTTCTGCCTCAGCCTCACAGGTAGCTGGGACTACAGGCACGCACCACCACACCTGGCTAATTTTTTTTGTATTTTTAGTGGAGATGGGGTTTCCCCATGTTGGCCAGGATGGTCTCGATCTCTTGACCTCGTGATCCACCCACCTTGGCCTCCCAAAGTGCTGGGATTACAGGCGTGAGCCACTGTGCCTGGCACTGAATATCAAGCTTTAAGTTTAAAATAAAACTCAGTTCCTTAATCATGCTAACCTCTTTTCAGATGCTCAAAGGGCTTGTGCATCTACTGCTACTTCCTGGACAGTGCAGCTCTAAGTGATCTGTTTTTACATGCTTTATGATCCAACGATACGTAATCCCATTAGTAACTAAAGTATTGGCCAATAAATTACTCCTAGGCATACATTAAACATTCACAATACTGTGCGGCCGTGTTTAACTTGTGAGCAAGCAGTGGCAAAACCTCCTATAGGAAAACATGACCACACCTCATTCGTGCCTTTGTAGAGCTAAGCAAGATGCTTTAGATCAAAAATTGCCTTGAATTATTTACTTTCATTGTAATCTCTCCTCCAGGCCTTTCTGTGTTTTGATAGAGTTCGTTTGAATTGACTCAATAAATCATTTTGTTTGCTGCAGAATTCCCAAAGGAGAACATTCAGATCCATATACATGAGATTCCTGCTGCATTTAGCCATACATTTGCCAGACTTGTGGGGTCGTTTATTCCTTGTGAAAGCTCAAGTACAGCCCGCAGGGAGGTTTTCAGCTGACCTGGTCGTGTTGAGGTAATAGAATTTAGAATTTGGAAAGCGGGTGGGTACTGGTCTTTACAGTTAACACAACCTAGAGTAGCCCATGCCATACTGGGTCCATGCCATACTGGGTACATTGAGCTAAGTCAGTTATTTGGCAAGGAGTTCTTGTAAAAGACTACATGGCTAAGGTGAGTGCTGATAATTGAAAGGAATTTGTTGACCCACTGAAAAGATGAGAGTAGATGAAACTACCGAAGTCATTCTGCCTGCCCCTGTTAGTTGGCTGGGTAAGTTGTTTTGCCCTGGTGGGCTGTGAGCTTTATCTTCATGTTTAAAGCGTGTGTACTGGGGACCAGGGGCCAGGAATGATGTAATCGGTGTAGGTCATTGTCAAGAAAACTAGAAAATGAAAATATTCAAAGGAAGTAAGGTGGTGTAGTGAAAACCTGTCACCCTGGCCTATTGATATTCTGTTATGGTGTTTCTTAATATGTCCCAGGCTATACCTATATAGTCACTCATAGTAAGTGTGTGTTTGTCCAGTGGTAGGAGTGGCCCGAAATATTACATCTTTTCCACCATCAATTGAAACAGCTACTTTCTCCACTACATTTCTTTTTTCTTTTGTTTATTTATTTTGAGATGGAGTCTTGCTCTGCTACCCAGGGGGAAAGCAAGAGTCTTGCCCTCACTACAACTTCTGCCCCTGGGTTCAAGCATTTCTCCTGCCTCAGCCTCCCGAGTAGCTGGGATTACAGGCACACACCACCACGCCCAGCTACTTCTTGTATTTTTAGTAGAGATAGAGTTTCACCATATTGGCCAGGCTGGTCTCGAATTCCCGACCTCAGATCATCTGCCTGCCTCGTCCTCCCAAAGTGCTGGGATTACAGGCATGAGCCACCACACCCGGCCTTCCACTTCATTTCTAATTGCCACATTCTCCCTAACTCTGAAAGCTCATGTGCTTGGTAACAGTTTGGCCTGGTTTTAAGCATTTTCTCTGGGGTGTACTGCAGTCCTTCACCCCTCCCTCCCCCTTTTGTTTTGGTCATTATTCCCTGAGGTTGAACAGAGTGTCCACTTCCCCTCACCCCACCCTACCCCACCCTCTCCACACACAGCCATAGTTGTTCAGGGTTTTTGAAAACCAAAAAATGCAAGAGTGGGCCTTGCTCCCAGCCCAGGCCTCCCAGGTCGCAAGTGAGTCTGATAACTGTGCAACTGTCTTTGCTGGGAACTCAGGTTTTATTGTCTTTCCAAAAATAATCACATTTTCCTTAAAAAGAAAAGGCTTTGTATCTCTATGTCCAACTTATGACCCGCATAAGTTTTCACGGACTGTGTAATCAGTGTATACGCACAATTTGGTTCTTCTTTAACATTCTAATACTGAGCTTCCTAGTTATTTTTAATTGTCGCCAATAGTTATCAGATTAATGTACATCATTGTTAAACACTTCTTTGATGGTTGGCTATCTGCATTATTTCAGTATAGGGAATGGAGTGGCTATAAGCATCTTTTAGTATGGTTTAACAAACATTGATCTTTATACAAATACCTTCCCTGACACCCCTTTCCCCATTTTGAAACTCCCTGAGGTGCCACTTTCATAAGTGGGATCACTGGGTCAAAGTGATCAGTTTTATGTTTCTTGATGTGTCTTGTCAGGAGACCCATCTCAATAAGGGCCCTTTGCTACCACAGTGAATCTCCATGTGAATCCACTCCAGGATGGCCACAATGAGATTTCAGTATCACATTAAACCTTGGCTTCGCATGAAGTTAAGCTCAATCTTATCAGCTGGCCTCTACCCTGCTCACCTTAAGATCCATTTCTCACTAGCGGAGCCCTTCTTTCCTTCCCTCTGCCGAGAGAATTCAAGCATCTGTCCAGAATGCTGTTTTATGTAGTTAACAGTACAGAGAATAGCATCTATTACTTTTCCTAGGCCCACCTCCATTTTTTTAATGCATACTGAGGGCTGATTCTCAGACTTGTCCTAGCCTAAAGCCATGCCTGCTCACAAATTGCAGTCACGCACCGACATCTGGACTTGCTGCCCTTATCAGAAGTATTTCTGATTAAAACCAGAGAGCCAGAAACTAGAGAAAATAGCAAAGAACACCAGGATCAGATAACATGAGGAGGCTTAGTTTGATTTTCTTCTCAAGTATACAGCTCTGTGTACTTCTACTGAAAAATGTGTTCTGGATCAGTGCCATTAAAGGGGTGGCTGTATACCCTCTCTCTGCTTTTAAATCTATGCTCATTTTCCCTTAGCTGTCTTCTGGTCAGGTGCGCTGGATTTTCCAGAAGCCCATTCAGAACTTTTCCCCTTTTCCTCACTGTCCTATTTTTGCACCACTATGTACCCCTGGTAGTTTGCTGGGTCTGTGCCTTTTTACACCCTTCCAGGTACACTCCTAGGACTGGACATCCTTTTTTTTTTTTGTGGTGACAGAGTTCCACTCTTGTTGCCCAGGCTGGAGTGCAATGGCGCCATCTCCACTCACGGCAACCTCTGCCTCCTGGGTTCAAGTTATTCTCCTGCTTCAGTCTCCCAAGTAGCTGGGATTACAGGTGCCTGCCACCACACCCAGCTAATTTTTGTATTTTTAGTAGAGATGGGGTTTCACCACACTGGCCTCAAACTCCTGCCCACCTTGGCCTCCTAAAGTGCTGGGATTACAGGTGTGAGCCAGCACGCCCGGCCTGGACATCCTTTTTGTTCATCAGCAGAAATAAGGGTGCTGTGGGTGCAGCTCATCTCCTCGGCTAACCCTAGCAGCGGCTGTCCATCTCGCACTCTCCCCACCACACTTCCCTCTGTGCTGCCAGCAGCAGAAGGAGCACCTGCGATGCAGATAACTCCTTTGTTTGCCAACTTCAGTAGTTTCCCATCAGCTACAAGATCAAGATCAAGTTCCTGTCACCTGGCCCTGCCCACTCTACCTCTACACCACCCTATAGCAGCATCCAGTTCCTTGCTGTTCCCCAAACTTGTCAGGGCTGTTTGGAGCCTTCAGCCTGTACAAGAGCTGTGCCCATCTCCTGGAATACAACCTTTGACCACTTCAAATAATGACCATTTTTCTAGTTAACATTTACTGAGCACTCAACTCTGCTGCCTGTGTGCCAACCCTTCACACGCACCACCTCACTAATTCTCACAGCCCTGGAAGGTGGGGACCAGTGTCACACATGACCTTGGGAATATCACACAGATCAAGGGCTGGGCTCAAGGTCACACACATTCATGTGATGTGAGAATGTAACTCTTGGCCTCCCTGTGACACTTTCTTCTCTGGGTTTTCATTCCACCTTGCAGAGAGCACTCTGACTTACTGTAGCCTTCCATGTGTGCATCTCCCCTCTCTACTGTGAGCCCCTCAAGAGCAGGACCCAGGCCTTTCCCATCCCTGTCCCAAAAGCTAACCAGGAACAGAAACATGTAGCATATTGTTGACTGAAGAAAGTGCTGCATCCATGGTCATCCCTCATATCCTTTATAAATTTCTTATATATTTCATTTCTTTGTGGGAATTGCATCTTGAAGCTTTGTTTATAGCCATCTGTGTGGGTCCCTTAGGCTATGTGGCTGACTTTAATGCCACAGATATTTTTCCATTTCTGGCATGTAGCAGTGCTGGGCTTAGTATTTTAGAGATTATTAAAGAGAAGACACGGCCTGTGCCCTCCAATTGCAGAGATGAGACCATATGGGACATAGCCATTAAAGACAATACATTTCAGTATTTGCATGGAGAGTTTGATTATATAGCAGATGCACATTCTTTGGACTGATATACAAGGCCCTGCAAAATCTGATTCTAGGCCACTTTCCCAGTTTCATCTACTCCTCTCCCATGGACCCCCCACACCGCAGCCATACCGAGGTGCGTGCAGTCCTTGTAGCCCACCGTGCTTCCAGTGTCACCATCTCTTTGTAGGTGCTGTTCCTTTTGCCTAGAATACCTGTCTTCTTCCTATCTACCTGGCAGCTTCTTACTCGTCTTTTAGAACACCATCTAGTGCCAGTTCTTTCCCTTTTTTTTTTTTTTTTGCATGGCCTTTCCACATTTTTCTATAGTGTGACCCTTATCACATAAGTCGATTTTGTAAGTTTGCTCTGCCTGTTAGCTGTTAAGCTACTTGAGGTCAAAACCTGTGTCTCAGTGATGGAAAAATGAATGACAAAATAGAAATTGGATAAATGGAAAGGAAAGAGTGATGATCTAACATGGCTGGGGGTCAGTCGGGAATCACTTTCAATGGCCAGAATAGAGAGCTGTATAAAGTGACTTAGAGGCATTAGTGGCTCATTCGCATGTGGAATAAGCTTGGAAGTGGATGGTTAAGTGTTGGTGTGGGTGCCACAATATCATCAGGAGCCCAGGCTCTGCCACACAGCTTGACTGCCTTTAATGCGAGGCTTCCCTCTTAGGGTAACCTCATGGCTCAAAACAGTTGCTGGAGCTGCAGCCATCTTATCCATTCCAGGCAAGAAGGACTAGAGAGGTCAGTGGATAAAGAAAAAGCATACTTTCCCTGAAGGCAGCCTCCTTCAAACAGATTTCTCAGGGTCCTTTACCCAGGAGCTTCATCTTCATCTCAGGCCAGGATGTAGTCACATGATCACCTCTGGCTGAGTTCTGAAGAGAGATGTAAACATACAGTAATAAACATAGGTTATCTCCACATTTAATTTAAAATGGCATTGCTTTTCAAAACAGATTTTAGATCTAAATATACATTTCTCAAAAAAAAAAAGCCATAAAATGGCCAATAAGAGTATGAAAGGATGCTCAATATCATTAATCATTAGGGAAATACAAATCAGAACCACAATAAGACATAATTTTTCATCTACTAGGATAGCACTAGAGTCAAAAAGACATAATAACAAAGTGCTGGCAAAGAGAGAAATTGTAACTCTCATAACGCCACTGGTGGGACTGTGAAATGATACAGCACTCTGGCAGGCCCTCACAAAGTTCAACACTGAGTTACCATATGACCCTGCAATCCCACTTCAGGTATATACACACAAGAGAATAAAAACATACCCCCACACAGAAGCTCGTGTATGCATATTCACAGCAGCACTATTCATAATAGCCAAAAAATAAGAATAACCAAAAAGTCCTCCATTAACAAATGAGTAGATCAAGAAGTTGTGGTATATCCATACAGTGGAATATTATTCTGCTATAAAAAGGAATGAAGTATTGATACATGCTATAACATGGATGAATTTCAAAAACATTATAGCAAGTGAAAGAAGCCAGTCACAAAAAACATAGGTGATGATCTTATTTTTATTTAATGTCCAGAACAGGCAAATCCATAGAGACAGAAACTAGATGAATGGTTGCCTGAGGGTGAGGGGAAACAAGGAGTGACTGATGCTGGGTTTTGTGTGGAGGCAATAAAATGTTCTAAAATTAGATACTAATGGTTGCATAACTCTGAATATACTAAAAACCATTGTATACACATTAAAAAGGGTGGATTGTATGTGAATTATATCTCAGTAAAGCTGTTCAAGAATTCAGCTTTTATCTGTAAAGCATAGCTTCAAAATTAACCTCAAAAAGTGAACTGGGGGCAGGGGAGACAAGTTTCCCAAACCAGTTAATATTTCAAGACTTGTATTAGTTATCTCCTTCTTCTCATTTGAGTCCTGACTTTAAAAGAAAAAAATCTGCCCGTCACAGTCAGGGTCAGATCCCTCTGGCTGATCGCCCAGATGACTGGGATCTGAGTGGTTTCTTTGTCCTACGGACTTATCATTTCAAAAACAAAGCTCTTTTTTCCAGTCTGCAAAGCTGAGGAAGAGAGATGCTAGGGGGTCAACAAATAGTTATAGGAAGTCACTTTATCTGCAGACCAGCAGGTTGCTAGAAGGGTTTGCTCTATGGGGCTCATGTTCCTTGGAGATTTTGTTACTGATAGATGGGCAGAGGCAGGTCAGGGGCCATGGTGTTTGGAAAGTAGCGTAGTGTTTGGAAAGGCCTCAGTGCCAGAAGTCTGCATATGGGTGACTCCCAACCAAGAGCTCTGATTCCTCAGCAGAACAAGAAACATGATAGCCTTCTCACCACTGGGTGGGCATACGAGCTCATGGCCATGAGCCTGCCCCATAAACACTGAATGTGGGCACCAAGCAGGCTGTCCTAGAATGGCAAACTTGGGGTGGCTCCAGTGGGGACAGAGTTTGAAAAGGGAAAGGGAGCATTGTCTAGTGGAAAAGAAGACGTAGGTTTTGGCTGGAGTGGTTGTCAGGATAAAAGGTGGTTGAAGAGATAGTTGGACGGCTGCAGTCACTGACAAGTGTGGTCAGAAGCCTTGAGCCAGCAGCTCTCCTTGGTGAGTGGGCTGGTTAGAGCTGTTGGAGTTGGACAACAGGAACAGCCTGTTGCATCAAGATGCTGACGATGGCCATCAGCAGAGAGGACAGACCCCCCCCCCACCCCTCCTGCTCTAAGTCTCCCTCAGGTTGACCTTTGCTATGTGCTCTGGATTTTTGAGTCTTTCACGAAGGCTCACGCTCTCACAAAGTCCCTCGGGAATTACAAGAAACAAATCGTTTTTGTGTAGCATAAGATGTGACTAGTTTTAATTTGATATATTGTTAAAGACTACTATCAGTTCCTTTTGATCAGAAAAATGAAACTTTTGGGATCTGGTTACAAATCCTGACAGTGCATTTACAGGTTTTTCTAGCCATTTTTGTGCTCATTAAATTGTTATTTATGCTTCGTCTCTTCAACCAGTGGTCTATTTTTGGTTAAGTTAAGAAGGTAAAAATAAAGCACAATGTAGAAATATGTCAGGGTGAAAATTACTGTAGTATTAAAGTAGAAAAATATTTATTGTAGTCCATTGATTTTTCAGGCACGTATTTTCCACACTTTAACATCTCTGAAATTGTGATATGTCTTACAGTCAATGGCAGCTTACATTCATTTTTCTCTTATAAGATGGTGCATCTTTTGATCAATAATGTCTTGGATTTGATGAAATCTGGCAAGTTATATTAGTTATTGAGCTTTGAAAATGCATTGCCTCATTCTTTCCTGTCTGCCCTCAGATGTACGTGTTGGATAATTCCATGCCCATCCTGGCATTGCAACCAGGAGTTTCTGCATTCCTTGCCTCCAGAGAGAACCAGTGAAACATCTTTTTGTTCTTGCAGGTTCTTATCAATTGACCACAAGTAGATCTTCCACCCTCAGATCTCTAACTACAAAAGGTGCAATGGGACCTTTCCCTCTTCCCCAGCCCTTCCAATACCGCAGCCCCCCCAGGGTCCTATACCCAGTTTGTGTGACTGTCCTTGAAGCTTTCCTGGAACCATACTTATCACCAGACCCTTCCCAAAGTGACTCACTAACACTGATTTCTCTGATGCTGTCTCTGGGTACGTAAGGGAGGAGGGACATCCCCTTGCCCTACTGTGGGGAAAGTGACTAACTCTTTTCTTGTCCTTTCCAGATAGGAACCACTGGCTCAATGACCTGTAAGGGCCATTTCAGCACATCCATTCTGTTTATCTCCAAGCCTTCACCATAGGGAAGAACTTTTGCTCTCGGTCACCTCTCAGAGAGCTCTCTTTATAGCTGAAGATCTCCCTCATGAGTTACGTCAAGAGTAACCGAGAACTATACCAACAATACACAGCCATGGCCCCCAAGCTACTGGCCCACATCTCCAAACTCCTCACGATCTGCCATAATGCAGGCATTTCTATACCGAAGGGCATCAGAAACATCTTTGAGTTTACTTGGGAAGAGCTCATCAGCGACCCTTCAGTGCCTACCCCCTCTGACATCTTGGGCTTGGAGGTCAGCTTTGGAGCCCCCACGGTGGTGCTCATGGAACCCACCGTTGTGCAGGTCCCCACACTGAAGAAGCCATTACCTCCCCCACCAGCAGCAGCACCATGTCCAGTGCTGCCAGCAACCACTAGGGCAACCAAGCGCTCCACCCGGTCTGCCACCATGGCCCATCAGGTGCCCACCCACCAGGAGATCCTAAACAGGTTTCAGCAGCAGTCCATCCACCTGCTGACAGAGCTTCTCAGCCTGAAGATGAAGGCCATGGTGGAGTCTATGTCGGGTAAGGCCCAGATGTTTGTGTGTGTGCCCACCACATCCACCACAGACAGGCATCTCAGAGCCACGTGCTGGGAACATGTGGCAACTGTGGGTCTGCTGTAGGAATTGGATGCCTTCCCTCTACGGCTCCTGGAACCATCCTGTCCTCCCTGTTCTCCCATTTTTCCTGCTATTGCCCCAGTTTTGCAGAGCCCGGATTGGAAGGTTAGCAGTAGAAATGGTGCAAGGTCAGAAACACTAAGGGGTAGTGTTTTTGAGAATGATACTGAGGTAGGGAGACAGCACCCAGGTCCAGGTGGCATGTGAAGTTTTCAAATCAGGAGGGCCAATTGGGAAGTAGCCAGACAAAGCCCAGTAGAGCCAGAACGAGGGAGAGTTATAAGAACTGGGTTCCCAGGCTGGGCACGGTGACTCATACCTGCAATCCCAGCACTTTGGGAGGCCAAGGCAGGAGGATCATGAGGCCAGGAGTTCAAGATCAGCCTGGCCAATATGGTGAAACTCTGACTCTATTAAAAATACAAAAATTATCCAGGCATGGTGGTGTATGCCTGTAATCCCAGCTACTCTGGAGCCTGAGGCAGGAGAATCACTTGAACCCGGGAGGTGGAGGTTGCAGTGAGCCAAGATTGCGCCACTGTACTCCAGCCTGGGCGATAGAGTGAGACTCTGTCTCTAAAAAAATAAATAAAAAAATAAGAACCAGTCCCTTCAAGGCAAGGGCATCATCCCAGGATCAAGGCCAGGACCTAGAGCAGCACCAGTGATTGAGCCTTCTGTATGCTGTGTCATTTCAGAAAGCAATAGCATCAGTACCCAGGCCTATGGGTAGGAAGAGAGACAGGCAAAGGGAGGAAAGCAAAGCAACACCTGAAGGGTCCTGAGAGCTTAAGAGCATTTCACAGTGGCCACCCACACGCCTGCATACCCTAGGAATAGCACTCCACTCCATTCTTCTTTCCTGGGCCGTTTACAGAGGCCCTTTTCAGGAAGTATTAACCCTGTGCTAGGAGGGACATGTGTTGCTTTCAATCATTGCTTTAGTGGGTGCCAACCCCTTGGACGTCACCAGGCGCTTTGTGGAGGCCAGCCAGCTCCTCCACCTCAACACCAAGGAGATGGCCTTCAACTGCCTGATGGGCACAGCCGGGAGAAGTGGCTACAGCAGTGGACAGCTGGGGAAAGGTGGGTACCTGAGCTTCAACCCTTAGGTGAGAAGTGGAAACAGTATCAATAAGAATGCAATGGAAAGGCAAAATACCCAGTTTGAAGGTTTGACGTTTCCAACAGTTGAGATGGTTGTGGAGCAACAGGGATTTTCAAATGCTACAGGTAAGTGGGTGAATTGGTGCAATTCCTGTGGAGAGTGGTTTGGGGGTATCTGCTTGCTGGACAATGGCTGCGCTTTACAACCCAGCAGTTCCTCATAGAGGTCGTTCCCTAGAGCTTTGCTCTCAAGCTACTTGCAGTGAAGGACTCATGTTTAAAATTTTCAATCTGTCTTGGACTGACCCTTTTAAACACATGATAAATGTCACAACAGTGTCAAGTTGCTACACAGGCCACTCAGTGCCCACCTTCAGTTTTTGTGCTCACCTGATCATGGCCTATGTGGGTCAGTGCCAGTCAACAGGCTAGACGCAAGTCACATAGCCCAAGGGAAGCTCACACACATATTCAAGAAGTCATACAAGAATGTTTATTGCAGGCAGGCATGGTGGCTCATGCCTGTAATCCCAGCATTTTGGGAGGCCAAGGCAGTAGGATCCCTTGAGTCCAGGAGTTCAAGACCAGCTTGGGTAACAGTGAGCCTCTGTCTTTAAATTAAAAATAAAAAAAGAATGTTTATTGCAGAATTCCTTGGAATGACAAAAAATTTATCAGAGTGTTTATCAATAAGAGAAAAAGATATAAATTATGGTCCATTTAGACAGTGGGACATAATCAATCACGAAAATCAGTGAGGCACTAAAACATACATATTCAGAGAGAGAAATCTCCAATAGTAGTATTAAAAAAAAAAAAAAAAAAAAAAAAAGAAGCTATGGAAGGATATTATTTTTCAAAGTTTAAAAGCATGTAAAGTAATAATATACCATTTATAGGTACATTAAAGTGCAAGTATAAAAGCACGAAGGGGGAGATTCGCGGAAGTGATCTCTGGGTAGCGAGAAGGGGAACAGGATCTGGAAGAGAGCAATCAGTTCAATTGTGTCTGTAATGTTCTTTTGTTGCCATTTTCTCACCCAGTACACCTCTCCCTGCCTCTCTCTCTCTCTCCTCTCTCTCTCTCTCTCTCTGTGTGTGTGTGTGTGTGTGTGTGTGTGTGTGTGTGTAGTGAGAACACAAGATATACTGCCTAAGCAAATTTCAAATGTACAATACAGTGATATTAACTGTAGTCACCATGCTATATATTAGTTCTCCAGAACACATTCCTCTTATAACTGAAAGTTTGTACTCTTTGACTAATATCTTCCCACTCCCCTGCTGCCACCCTCTAGTCCCCACCAACCACCATTCACTCTCTGCTTCTATGAGTTTGACCATTTTAGATTCCTCATATAGGTGAGATCATACAGGATTTGTCTTTTTTTTTCTGGTATTTTTATTCAGCATATAATGTACTCTAGGTTCACTCATGTTACAGCAAATGGCAGGATTTCCTTTTTTGTAGCTGAATCGTATTTCTCTCTCTCCCTCTCTCTCTCTCTCTCTCTGTGTGTGTGTGTGTGTGTGTGTGTGTGTGTGACGTTTTCTTTATCCATTTATCCTTTGATAAACACTTAGCTTGTTTCCATATCTTGGCTATTGTGAATAATACTGCAGTGAGCATAGAACTGCAGATATCTCTTTGAAATACTGATTCCTTTTCTTTGGATAAATACCCAGAAGTTGAATTGCTTTATCATAAGGTAGTTCCATTTTTAAATTTCTGAGGAACTCCATACTGTTTTCCATAATGGCAGCACCAATCTACATTCCCACCAGCAGCACGCAGGTTTCATTTTCTCTATACTCTTGCCAGCACTTGTTAGCTTTTGCCACTTTGGTAATAGCCATTCTAACAGATGTAACGTGGTATCTCATTGTGGTCTTGATTTGCATTTTTCTGATGATTACTGACATTGAGCATTTTTGTCATATACTTATTGGCCATTTGTGTCTCTTCTTTTGAGAAATGTCTATTTGGGTCCTTAATCCGTTTTTAAATCAAGTTGCTTATTTTTTCGCTCTCTAATGTTTTATATCTTAAGCTCGGTGAATACACAGGTGTTCGTTCTGAATGCCTAAAATTACTCACTGGTGAGAGACTATAGGGAAGCATAAAAAGATTATATCTCCCAACCATTTGCCCTCACCTGTAGAGTCAGTCCCCATTCAAACTCTTTCCCTGCCCACTGAGTCAGTATCTTTGTCAGGCTCCCCTGATGGTCAGATATTAAACATCTGATGATATACACACACAGTGCAAATAAATTGCATAGAAAAATTGCAGATCTTGGGGAAAAAAATGTAGCATTTCATGCAGTCAGTGAAAGTGATGCTGGAGAGCCGCAGAATGCCCCTCCGCCGCCCCTGATGGCTGATGGGGTACAGTGGTACTAACCACCTGCTGCAGAAGGGAAAACCGAAGACAGCATCATGACTCCATGGAGAAAGGATGTTTGGGGTATCAAAGAGTTAAAAATAAAAAGCAGTAAAGCTCTTGAATAATTTTGCGAAAGGCAAATATGAAGGGACTTATGTTTTATTGCCATGATGCAATCATTCAGGAAGAAACCACACTGCCTCGAAAAACCCAGCAGTCATTTTTATTTTCTTTATAAGACTTAATGTGTTCTTAGAGTATCAACTAATTTTAAAAAATACAAGATAAAAGGTTATTTTGATGATTTTGGATTTCTTTTCTAAGACAGAGTTGTGATAAAACACCCCTCTCCCCAGTGTTTATCATGAAATGAAGATCTCTGTTTTAGGGGGATTTCTGCTGCGCCCGTTTTGTTTAGGATCAGCTAGGCTTTGAGGCCTCGAGTTATGCTGTAATTATTTGTGCAGGTGGTGATCGCCAGACAAAGAGCTCTGTACCTTGCATGCTATTTTGGGGCTTAGAGATCTCCCTCATTTTGGGGCACACCTGCTAAGTAGTCTGTTGCACATGTATGAGAGTCCCATGACAGCTATCAGGGTAGCTCCAGCCCAACCCTGGGGCCTCACATCTGCCTGAGCCACTCCTACCTGAATAGTGTCCTCACCTTTAAAAGGAAACCGGTCCTCACCACTAACACTCATAAAGCATTTCAGCATTCTTTAAGGATGAGGGAGGCGCAGTTGCTTCTGGCATCTCCTGTGGGCTGTGATTCATCTAATGGAGGAGAATGGGAACAGAACTAAGCCGAGCTGGGGGCAGGGAGCTTTTTGGGTGATCTCTGCATCTTGTTGTCCTGCTGCGAGAGCACCCCTCTGCATCGCACTTTGTCCTGTGCTGTCCTGTGCTGAGATCGCCCCTCTCCATCACACTCCCTAGCAAGCCTCCCTGTCTTGGCACTTGCCAGTGCAGATGCTCCCCTCTTTAAATAAGCCTAGAGTTTAAAGACAAAAATGTAAGTAGCAAAACAAAAATGAAAGAGTGATCCATTTCTTTTGGAGAAACATTCATTCATCCTAAAAGGACTTTACTTAGATAACTCTCCTGGGGCATAAAAAAGAAGAGTCAAACTCTGATGATTTGCTTTGCATGAATTGTGTTTTTCTGGACCACCCTCTTATGTGAGGTAGAACAAAGCTGTAACAGGTTTAGAGTATCTCTCTTTTAAAGTTGTGACCAGGCTGGGCGTGGTGGTTCATGACTGTAATCCCAGCATTTTGGGAGGCCAAGACAGGATCACTTGAGGCCAGGAGTTCAAGACCAGCTTGGCCAACATGGTAAAACCCCATCTCACACACACACACACACACACACACACCCCCACCCACCCACCCACCCCAAAACCAGTTGGCCAGCCATGGTGGCACATACCTGTAGTCCCAGCTATTCAGGAGGCTGAGGCAGAAGAATTGCTTGAAGATGGGAACCAGAGGTTGCAGAGAGCCAAGATTGTGCCACTGCACTCCAGCCTGGATGGCAGAGTGAGACCGTCTCAAAATAAAAAGCTGTATCCAGAATATCCCCTGTGCTATGTAGTCTTCCCTCATGTCCTGGCACCCATGAGCCCTGGCTTGTCACTGAAGAGAACCAGACTGCTCCTTTCTTTTTAGTTGATGACAATATTATTATTAATAATGCAAAAAAGAGGGGCCGGGCACAGTGGCTCACGCCTGTAATCCCAGCACTTTGGGAGGCTGAGGTGAGCATATCATGAGGTCAAGAGATCAAGACCATCCTGGCCAACATGGTGAAACCTCGTCTGTACTAAAAATACAAAAATTAGCCGGGCATGGTGGTGTGCATCTGTAGTCCCAGCTACTCGGGAGGCTGAGGCTGGAGAGTCATTTGGTCCCAGGAGGTGGAGATTGCAGTGAGCGGAGATTCACACCACTGCACTCCAGCCTGGTGACTGAGTAAGACTCTGTCTAAAAATAAAAATAAAAATGCAAAAAAGAGAAAGCCATCTTTATATAAGAGCTATTTTTCACCTTCTCAGTTTCCTTTGTGGTTCCTGTGCTCATATATGGATATATTTTTTTAGGGTATTGCAATTTCTCTGTTTCTCAGTTTCTTTTACTTGAGTACAACTATTTTCTAAATTGGCTATATACTTAAATAATTGTCATTTTGAGTAAGTACAGACTCCTTTTAATGTTCATGTTCCACATTTACCTAAATGCTTAGGTTTCCAGGCTTTTTTGTTATTTGTATGATATGCGCTGTAATAGGCAACTTTATGCATGTGGCTTCTTATTTCTGTTGTATTTGGTTAACTTTCCAGGGGGAGGGATTATTGGAGCAGAGATCTCAGTATGTATATGGCCTTCTTCTGAATCACACTTAATTTGGATTCTCTCTACACAAACAGGGTTGATGGGCTTTATTCTTTCTTTCCCATTACTGGCTATTGTTAGTTCTTTTCATTTCTGTCAAGGTAGAATGTCCTAAAAGTTGTTCTAATTTCAACTTTTGGATCACCAGAGATGATTACACTTGTGTTTTATCATCCAGTGTGGAATCTCTATAGTCTTTGTCCGCTCAGGAGGTCAGGTTTGTCATTTTCTTTTTGTATTTGAATGAGCTGTGATGAGTGAATCATCTAACATTTTCTAACAATGGTTTCACGCCTAACCAGTGAAATGACTATATTTGGGGGAAGAATAAACAGATGATTTGGTGAGGTTTGTGTAAGAATGAACAATATTTTCCACTACCCATAAGCGTGCTACATTTTATTTCTTAAGTGGCCAGATATCTACTGATTCTATACAAGATGGTGTGATTCTTTAAGAGACTGATATATTATTGAAGAAGCATCTGATTTCTGTGGCCTAGATAAGTAAGAATAGATGATTCTTAATTTCCTTCTTGCTGGCCCAAGGTTTATCCTCTCGACCTGGTGCAGCACTGTTATCTGTCTTTGCCCTTGGAGTAATATCACCTTTTTTGGCTGCTTGCTGTTCCTTGCTCCGAGGTCCCTCTCGAGAGTTGGGGAAGAGGAGCACTGCAGAGGAGAACTGTAAAGATTACCCCTAATTGCTCTGAGCCTACTGATGCGTTGTAAAATCTCCTTCTTCCAAGATCTAGGTGTTCTGTAATAACGCAGCTCTTTACAATATCTGACTCACTGTACTACTAGAACGAGAAACCCATGTTACATTTTTTGCTAATAAAATAAACAATTGAAAGAAGAATCTCTCTCTCTCCCATTCCAGAATTTCTCACAAACATGTCTGCCATTGGGGTGAACTCACCTTACCAGCTGATCTACCAGTCTTCCACAGCCTGCCTGAGCTTTTCTCTCTCTACTGGAAAAGAAGTCAAGAAAAAAATAGGTAAAAATGGTTCCCAGCAAGACCTTGTGGCCAACCATTGGTGGTGGTGGTGGGTTAGGGAATAGAAGGTTTCTGTCTAGTCTGTGCAGGTGTGGGATGGTTTGATTGAGTCTTCTGATTGGAAGGATACGTGGCGGCTCTGCCTGGAGATCTGACAGCTGTCCACACAGATTTGCTGATGGAAATGTTGTCACAGCTCAGCCCCATCACTGCATAGCACAGGCTCATCATTTCAGTTTGTGCATGCCCTACATTCTCAGCGATATGGCATCCCTCCCCAGGACAACACCCCACCAAATCCATCCCTTCTACCCCCTACAATATCCCAAACTCACCCCTCTGCTCAGACAGCTCTGTCCAGTCACACAGCAAGTGGGGGAACTAGTATCTGAACGGAGGTATTTGGAGTCCAAACCTGGCAGACCTCAGTTGCACATTCCAAATTGGGCAAGTTTTTGTGGGCAGGAAACAGACAAAGAAGATAACCCTTGTTGTACTGAGGAATACACACAGGAGAGGCTTCAAGGAGAGAACGGGGCAGAAGAAGGCAACCAGTGAAACACCACCTGCTCAAGAAGAAGCTCAGAGGGGAGACAGGCTGGGGCTGCAGAAAGCAGGGCAAGGCCTGGCAGAACTCCTAGGCCTACCCTGCTAGCCATGACAGAGGGGTCGTTGGGACAGGGTAGGTAGGAGAGGACTGTGTTCCTGAAGGTGGTGGGAGGGTGGACGGCAGGCAGGAATGCTCAAGCTGTCCAGCTGATTCCCACAGACACTAGAAGTAAGACTGGAGGCCAAGGAGCTTGGATTTTCTCCGTGTCCCCCCCCCCCCGGCTGGCTGTGTGACCCACCTAAAAGGGGGATGGTCATCGTGGGTGTGCCTTGTATTGCATTACTCACCATATCAAGCTGATCCTATACTCTTGCAGTGAGTGAACAAATGGCTACTCAACACTTGCTAACTGTCAGTCTGTATACCAAATGCTGGGGATACAGACGTGGACTCTGAAGACAGAAAATGCCTTTGAGCAAGGAGCTGACCCCTGCTTCTGGGCACAGAGTAGCTTCAGTGGCCGCCTCTCTTTCCTGACTGCTTTACTTGTGTTGATGTTCTTCATCTCATTGTGGTGCAATAACCCACAGCACCATTGCCAGCACCCCACTGCATGTGCACCTGGCTTGGTACTCCATTATCATGTGCCCCCCTGAGCTGGCCCTAGATCTGGCCCTGTGATCCCACAGTCAGTTTGAGGAAAAAGAAAGTACCCTCAAGACCCATGGTGATTTAATGCGTTTTTCGTCCTAATGAACCTGAGGGTGACGTATTGGGCGAGGTTGCTTCGAAGCAAAAGTTAAATACAGAAGTCCTCCTTATCCAGGGTTTTCCCTTTCTGTGGTTTCAGTTATCCATGGCCATCTGTGGTCCAAAAATATTAAGATATTTTGAGGCAGAGAGAGAGGGACCACATTCACATGACTTTTTTTAATTTAAAATTTTTGTGGGTATAGTAGGTGTATATATTTATGGGTTACATGAGATATTTTGATACGGGCACACAATAGTCACATGAAGCTAAATGGGGTGTCTGTCACCTTTAGCATTTATCCTTTGTGTTTACAAACAATTCAATTGTACTTTTTTATTTATTTAAAAATATGTAATTAAATTATGTTTGACTATAATCACCCTGTGTGCTATCAAATACTAGGTTTTATTCATTCTTACTATTTTTTTGTACCCATTAACCTTCCCTACTCCACACTACCCTTCCCAGCCCCTGGTAATCATCTGCTCTTTATCTCCATGAGTTAACTGTTTTAATTTTTAGCTCTGATAAATGAGAACATATGAAGTTTGCCTTTCTGTGTCTGGCTTATGTCATTTAACATAATGATCTCCGGTTTCATTCATGTTGTTGGAAATGCCAAGATCTCATTCTCTTTTTATGGCTAACTCTATTATGTATATGTATCACGTTTTCTTCATTTGTCTCTTGTTGATGGACACTTAGGTTGCTTCCAGATCTTGGCTATTGTGAATGGTACAGCTGTAAGCATGGGAGTGCTTAATATCTCTTAATTTTACTGATTTCTCTTCTTTCAGGTATATACCTAGGAGTGGAATTGCTGGATTGTATGGTAGCTCTATCTTTATTTTTTTGAGGAACCTCCGAACTGTTCTCCATAATGGTTGTGCTAATTGACATTCCCTCCAACAATGTATGAGGGTTTCCTTTTCTCTGCATCCTCACCAGCATTTGTTGTTGCCTGTCTTTTAGACAAAAGCAATTTTAACTTGGTAAGATGATATCACCTTGTAGTTTTAATTCGCATTTCTCTGACTATCAATGATGTTGGGCACCTTTTCATATACCTATTTGCCATTCATATGTCTTCTTTTGAGAAGCTTATTCTTGTTGGCACAAAAAGTAAGAGAAATATCTATTTAGATCTTTTACCCATTTTTCAATCAGATTATTAGATTTCTTCCTATAGAGTTGTTTGAACTCCTTATGTATTCTGGTCATTAATCCTTTATCAAATGGGTAGTTTGCAAATATTTTCCCCCATTCTATTGGTTGTCTCTTGACTTTGTTGATGGTTTTCTTTGCTGCGCAGAAGCTTTTTAACTTGATGTGATCTGGTTTGTCCATTTTTGCTTTGGTTGCCTGTGCTTGTGGGGTATTACTAAAGAAATCTTTGGCCACTCCAATGTCCTGGAGAGTTTCCCTAATGTTTTCTATTAGTATTTAATAGTTTGTGGCCTGAGTCTTTAATCCATTTTTATTTTATTTTATATATGGTGAGACATAGGGGTCTTTTGTTTCAAGAATTTTTTTTCATTTTCTTCTTAATTTCTTCATTGACCCACTGGTCATTTAGGAGCATATTGTTTAATTTCCATGTATTTATGTAGTGTCCAAAATTCTTTTTGTGAGTTCTAGTTTTATTCTGTTGTGGTCAGAGAAGATGGCTGCTGTTATTTCAGGGGATTTTTAAAAATATGTTTTAAGACTTGTTTTATGACCTAACATATGATCTATCTTTGAGAATGATCCATGTGCTAAGGAAAAGAATGTGTACTTTGCAGCCATTGGATGAAATGTTCTGTAAATATCTATTAGGTCCATTTAGTCTGTAGTGCAGATTAAGTCTGTTATTTCTTTGTTGATTTTCTGTCTGGAAGATCTGTCCAATGCTGAAAGTAGGGTGTTGTTATCTCCAGATATTATTTTATTGGGTGTTTCTCTTTCTGTAGTTCTAATAATACTCGCTTTATATATCTGGGTGCTCCAGTGTTGGGTATGTATGTACGTATATATTTACAATTGTTGTATCTTTTTGGTGACTTCTTTATTATATAGTGACCTTCCTTGTTTCTTCCAATAGTTTTTGTTTCAAAATCTATTTTGTCCAAGTATGGCTACTCCTGCTCTTTTTTGGTTTCCATTGGCATGTAATATCTTTTTTTCATTCCTTTATTTTTCAGTCTATTTGCATCTTTATAAGTGAAGCATGCTTCTGATCATTTGTTCTTGTTTTTCATCCATCCAACAATTGTATGTCTTTTGATTGGAGAGTTTAGTCCATTTACATTTAATGTTATTATTGATAAATAAGGATTTACTCCTGCCATTTTGTTGTTTGTTTCTCTTGTTGTTTTGTAGTCTTCTCATTCTTCTTTCCTTCCCTCTTGTCTTCCTTTTACTGAAAATGATTTTCTCTGGTGGTATGATTACATTTCTTGTTTTTTATTTTTTGTGCATCCATTATGTCTTTTTTTTTTTAATTTGAGGTTACCATGAGGCTTGCAAATACTATCCTATAACTCATTATTTTAAGCTGATAACAACTTCATACTGTTTGCATAAACAAAGAAACAAGTAAAAAGAAAACTAATAAAACTCTACACTTTATCTCCCCACATTTTTATTGTTTCTATATTTATCGTATTGTACTATATCTTGAAAAGTTGTTGTAGTTATTATTATTATTACTATTATTATTTTGAGATGTAGTCTTGCTCTATTGCCCAGGCTGTAGTGCAGTGGCACATCTTGGCTAACTACAAGCGCCTCCTACTGGGTTCATGCGATTCACCTGCCTCAGCCTCCGAAGTTGCTGGGACTACAGGTGCACATCACCACACACAGCTAATTTTTGTATTTTTAGTAGAGATGGTGTTTCATTATGTTGGCCAGGCTGTTCTCCAACTCCTGACCTCAAGTGATCTGCTCGCCTCGGCCTCCCACAGTGCTGGGATTACAGGTGTGAGCCACCACACTGGCCTGTAGCTATTATTTTTTATCAGTTCATCTTTTAATTTTTCTACTTGGGATAATAGTAGTTTATACACCTCAGTAGCAATGTTGTAATATTCTGGTTTTCTCTGTACTTACTATTACCAGTGAGTTTCATACTTTCAGATTATTTCTTATTGCTCATTAACACCTTTCTTTCTGATTGACCTACTCCCTTTAGCATTTAATGTAGGAGAGGTCTGGTGTTGATGTCTAGGAAAGTCTTTATTTCTTCATGTTTGAAAGATATTTTCACTAGATATACTATTCTAGTGTAAAAGGTTTTTTTCCTTCAGCACTTTAAATATGTCATGCCACTCTCTCCTGGCCTGTAAGGTTTCTGCTGAAAATTCTGCTGAAAAGTATTGGGAGCTCCATTGTATGTTATTTGTTTCTTTTCTCTTGCTACTTTTAGTGTCCTTTTTCAGGATTATTGACCTTTGGGAGTTTGGTTATTAAATGCCTTAAAGTAGTCTTCTTTGGGTTAAATCTGCTTAGTGTTCTATAACCTTCTTGTACTTGAATTTTATATCTTTTTCTAAGTTTTGGATGTTCTCTGTTATTATTTCTTTGAATAAACTTTTACCTCATCTCTTTCTCTACCTTATCTTTAAGGCCAATAACTCTTTAAATTTGCCCTTTTGAGGTTATTTTCTAGATCTTGTAGCCATGTTTCATTCTTTTTTTTCTTTTTTTTTTTTT